GACTATGACGCCCCCCCCCCCAACCACACACACACACACACACACACACACACACACACACACATACATACACACACACGCACACACACACACACACACACACACACACTCACACACTCACACACTCACACACACACACACACACACACTCTCTCACTCACACACACATATACTGTCCAGTGTGTGCCTGACTCGAAGGGAGGCGATGGCCTGTCTAGTGACTAGTAAATGGTTTTTCGTGACGTTTGAACCTTTTCATTCTTTAAGCAGTTAAATAGAAAATGCTATTGTCATTAATACCACGAAAGCCACTAGAATCCCAGCGGCAATACTATTGACTCCAGTATGGTTTGTTTGTTTAGTATAGGGTTTTACGGCGCTCGCAACTGCATAAGGTCATATGAGCGCGCGGGACACACCTAATACTTTTTCGTTGGTAGGAAATTTTGAATTTTGCCCGGGTGGCGGCCGAAGCCTACTCTTATCGATTTTAGACCACCAAGGGATCTTTAACGTGCGCAACTTCCACACGGGCCCTCCGAGATTTTTCGCCCTTGTCCGAGAAGGCTAGGTGTAGATCTTTCCTACCAGAAGATCAGGGGTGTGGCAGAAAGACAGCAGTTAGGAGGAGCCAAGGAGTAACAGTAGAAAGGCTGCAGAAAGAGTCAGGAGCCCAGAGGAGGGGGCATGGGAGGTGAGGGGGTGGGGGCAGAAAGTGGAAGTGAAAGCAGACAACAGAACAATGCTAGAGAGCAGGAAAGGAGGTGAAAGGAGACAATTTTAGAGAAGAACATTTTTGGTCGCTACCCGGATTCGAACCCGGGACCTTTGAATGAGGGGCCAACACCTTAACCTCTAGGCCACGAGAGCCCCCTGACTCCAGTAACCACCAAGGATATTAAACATATATATATGTGAAAATGTGTGTGTGTGTGTGTGTGTGTGTGTGTGTGTGTGTGTGTGTGTGTGCGTGTGTGTGTGTGTGTTCCATCCCAAAACGCACACCAACGCTACTAAGTGCTAAGTTTTGTTAGAGGCATTCAGTTTAGCTCTGCCGTCTTTGTACCACTGAGTAATGGTGAAGGTAATGATAAATTTCCCGTCTTCTCGCATCACAACGATCAGAACACGATGTTTCCAGTCTCTGTGAGATAGCTGTGACCCCACTGGGAACCCGGGTGTGGTGCTCTGGATTTTTTAAAGGGGGAGAAAGTGGAGGGAGCATTTTAGTTTAGTTTTAGTATGGGGTTTTACGGCGCTCTTGCGGTCAGTGGCGGTGGGTGGACCAAAATTTGAGTGGGGCTTAGGTTTCTTCCAGTTTTTTACCACCAAATAGCAAGCAATAAGAATTAAACAGTGATGATTTTTCTATACTCACGTTGAGCCACGGCAGTTTGAGAACCATTCAAACAAGAAGAGTTGCCTTTGTTTTAAATCTCTTTGTTCTTAGTTAAATTCTTGTTGATGGTGGGGACGAAACCGATTCACCTCCAAATTTCCTCTAATTAGTTTTCGTGTGATGAAAAAGTTATAACTGTTAAATCTCAGCAGCACAAACACAAACATGCACACACAGCACTTCAAACATAATACTTCTATGAGCTGGATTAGGCCGTGTAGTCGAGAAAGTTGAACGCACCCAACAAAGAACCAATGAGCGCATAGGTATCTGTGTCAGTAGGGGAAAGTGTGTCGTAAACTTTCACCCCATTGTCAGGGCTAGGAGAGCGTAGCCCTCGGTGCAGTGTTATTTTTTCCAAGTTTTCTACCTTTTTACAAGAAGAGTTTCATTAAGGACGGACTGTGGGAAAAGGGCTCATCTTTGCTGAGCCCTAAAGACATTTGATTGGCTGCTGGGTTACTATAGTTGTAAGCGGGGACAACAGTGATTGGATAAGCGAGCAAGCCGCCAGGTTGATCACTCTGTGTTCATTGCGTGCGGTCATAACGGTTTCAACTGCTTATTTCATTATTTCATAGAGAAACTTTCATTTACTTTGGGATAGAGTTGGGGGTGGTGGTTGGGGAGGGGGTAGGGGCTCAAGCCCGTGAGCCCTTCACTACCCACCGCCACTGCTTGCGGTAGATGTATACTTGTACTTTGATTTTACTCATTTCATTTATTCACTTTTCTGCCCTAAGCTAACAAAACGCATTTTCTTCATTTTGACGCTAATTTCTTTTTTATTTGTTAAATCAATAGCTTGATCAGCTACCCTTCTTGTGTTACAAAAATCAAAGTGAAACTGTAAGATAAGATAAGATAAGATACATCTTTATTGTCCAGATCCTGGTACATTGGTTTGGTGTTCCACCACGAGTACACACACACACACACACACACACACACACACACACACACACACACACACA